ATTGGATAACTCACATTATGTGACTTGTTGTTTTCTGTTCATGAAAAAAGTAGGGACTGTGTCAGAGCACTGTTTCCTCCCTTGTAGTCAAGTGGCACTACATTCCTTGTTTAAATGTTAACTTGATGTACACGCAGGTTGTGGATACAGTCTGGAGATAAGAGTGAACAGTTCTACTCAATTTGATTGGAATATTTAAATTATGGAATTGCTAAATAGATATTTCTATAAATAGATACTTTTTATTTATGTAGCTTTTTTTGGAAATAACTATAAATTTTTATAATTCAGAAGACTACTATATGTGAGAAGCATAATATCTGGATAGAAGTTGGCCTGGATAACCTCCAAAGTTGTTTCAACTCTTAAAGATAACTTGATCTTGAATGTAAAAATGTGTTATGTGTGCATAGAATCAGAATTTGATCTTAGAACCTCAGTAGTTCATCCATACATTTATCTATAGAATTAAGTCAGTTTTTGGGTTATTAAGCAAACTCATAGTAGTTGCCACGGAATTCTAGAATGATAAGTCATATTTAAAACAAAGAAGTTAGAAATCAGATTAGGCAGTCAGTGGTTTTATTTCCTTAAGGGAAACTTTTTTTAACCCAAAGAAAGAAGGTATTGATTACTGTAACAAGAGAAGCTTCAGGTTTAATGATACAGACTTATGAACACCTTGGATTTTACTAGTGTTAGAAGTGACTTTGACTGGAAGATCAGATCGAAGGCAGTGTGTGTCAAGGGGCACACATCTGACGCGTGTGTCAAATCCTCACCCGCCAAGTCCTCCTGTTGCTGTGCCGTCTGTTGCTCCGCAGGAACCTGCATGAGGCAGCAAGAATCTGAAGCAGACGGCTGATGTTCTTCAAAACTAAGACCTTTCTGCAGGGCTGAGTGGAATAACAATTTGGGTTAGTGTGCTAGCATTAGGAGCAGTAGGGAAGTTCTTCACCTTGTAGATCTAGCATTACAAAAAAAGTAGGTTGACTAGAATCTCATGAAACATGGTGTATGAATCCTCTATATACCAGTGCTCCAGTGAGATTTAACAAAAGACAAAACAGTACTCTTGCTCACAAAGGCAGCGCCTTACAAACTCACTGTAAAAAGGAAGATAGTTTATTTCTTTACCCTAGAATTCTCAGAGTTGTGTTTATAGACATATTCTTGGAAAGTTTGGCAAGTCATATATCTTTGTTTTTGTATAGTTCTGTTACAGTGGTGTTCAATACAAAAATTTAATTCATCCTAAGAAAATATATAAACCACTGGAATGAAAATTTTACATTAAGCTATGCTGTTAATTCTGTTATTATATAGAATAATAGCCTTAGAAATATCTTATGACATTATAATTCCACTTGTGATTCAAACTGAATATTGTGGTTCAGTGGTTCAACTGGATTTTGTTTTAAAATCAATAAAAATTTCAAAAACTTACTAGCTTCTTTGGTATTCTCTCTTAAAAGAAAATCTTTCATTAAATCTCCCATTTTAATTAAGACATTTATACATCATTTCTATTGACAGAATGTAAAAATTACTGTTATTAATCATGTTCCTATTGTTATTTTGCTCAATTTAACTGGTTAAATTTCTTGTTCAAAAAGCAGAGTAGGAGTGGGCATTTGGTGTAACAGTTATGAACGCCCACGTTCCATCCGGCAGTGCCTGGGTTTGAGTGCTTGCTCTGCTCCTGATTCCAGCTTCTTCTGTACATCCTGTAGATGGCTCAAGTGAGGTCCTTGCTACTCACAAGAAAGAACTGGCTGAGTTCAAGCTCCCAACTTCAGCCTGACCCATACCTGGCTGTGGGGACATCTAGGGAGTGATCAGTGGAATGAGAAATTTATGTCTGCCTGCCTCTCAAAGAAGCATTTTTTAAAAATTAAGAGTATATACTTGTTTATTAAAAATGCCTTGATCCAATTAATTTCCTCATCTGCAAGAAAAATAGGCATTAAGATAGTGTCCCTATATATAGATAGTATTCTGGATTGTTTAGAGCTTGCCCTTAAAAATCAAAACTCTGTGACTGGCGTTAAGGTGTAGTATGGGTAATGCTGCTGCTTGTGATGCTGACACTCCATATGGGTGCCAGTTGGAGTCCTGGCTGCTCCACTTCTCATCCAGCTCCCTGCTAATAGCCTGGGAAAAACAGTGGAAGATGGCCCAAATGTTTAGGCCCCTGCCACCCAGAGAATCAGTTGAAGCTCCTGGCTTTGGCCTGGCCATTGTGGCCACTTGGGGAGTGAACCAGTGGATGGAAGATAGGTCTCTCCCTCCCTCCCTCTCTATAAATTTTTCAAATAAATACATATTTTAAAAAATCACAATTCTAATGATTGGAAATATTGAGAAAATTATCCTCCGTAACTTATTACCAGATTCAATGAAATTTATGCTCCAGCCATATATGCTGGACATTGGTGTGTTTTTTCCTCATTTATAATTCTTGATAAAATTCCTTATAATTTGGATGAGATTCATAAACATGAGGACAGATGTGGTATTTGGTTCATAACAAGAACTCAAATGTTTAACACATTTTTAATACATTAAGAATATCTGCAGGGAACAAATACCATATATTCTCCCTGACCTTTAATAACTAATACAGCACCTAAAAGGCAATCTGTGTAAGTGAAATTGACACTTGGAGAAGCAATGACTTTGAACAGCCCTCATCTTGACTGTTGAGGAACAGTTTTTTTCCCCCCATACTATTTTTTGAACTCTTCACTTAACATAGTCAATCATATGTGTATAAAGTTAACTGAAAATAGATCTTAGTTAAAAAATAAGAGTGGGAATAGGAGGAGGAGGAAGAGGGGTATGAGAGTGGGTGGGAGGATGGGTACTGTGGGAGGAATCAACATATTCCTAAAGTTGTAAATATGAAATGTATGAAGTTTATATTCCTTAAGTAAAAGGTTTCTGGGGAAAAAATTTAAAAAAAGAATCAATCACTCTCCTTTTCAAAAAATTAATACAAATTTAAGAAACAAGAACAACAAAAAAGAATGTTTACAAAAGGTATAACCTCGGGGCTGGCACCGTGGCTCACTTGGTTAATCCTCTGCCTGCAGTGCCGGCATCCCATATGGGTGCAGGGTTCTAGTCCTGTTGCTCCTCTTCCAATCCAGCTCTCTGCTGTGGCCCGGGAGGGCAGTGGAGGATGGCCCAAGTCCCTGGGCCCTGCACCCTCATGGGAAACCAGGAGGAAGCACCTGGCTCCAGGCTTCATACCGGTGTAGCTCTGGCCGTAGCGGCCATTTGGGGGGTCAAACAATGGAAGGAAGACCTTTCACTCTGTCTCTAACTCTGTCAAATAAAATAAAATAAAATAAAAAATCCAAAAGGTATAACCTAACAGGGAACTATAGATGCAAGGAAAACTAAACACCTAGGTCATAATCCTATACCTTGATTAAGCATGGAACTAATCCCTGAAGACATAGATTTGACCTCTGTTTAGCAAATTTATCTTAGATCAATGGCTGTTCTACCCACCATTGTTCACAAGGGATTAGGTAAGGTTACAGTTACCTCCCATTCATATCCTCTAATTTGAGTTGCTGCCTTTTTATTTCTCTTACTAAGTAACTCTTACTTTGGGCTCCCTGGAAAAGATTTTACAGGGTAATTGTGCAGCTTTGCCTGGAAAAGTTAATAACTTCACCTTAATGAAGACATAGCCTTTAAAAGAAGGAAAATAAATTGTTAACACAGTTCAGTGACTTTCTAGCCATATAACTTGACATCTTTATGCATATTACATGCTTTATTTTCAATGAAGAGATAGCTTTTAATATTTTCACATGAGCACCAAAGTGTAGTAAATATTAAAAATTCAGAGTTTGATTTCCTCCCAAAATTTGATGCTTTTAAATAGTTTCTCAGTTAAAGAAAAAAAGCTTTGAACCTTATCTCTTCTAATATACTTTATTTGGATTGTATATTCCATGGGTACAAAAGTAAGGTCATGTACTTTAAAGACTGGGTTCCTGTTCCTCTCAAGCAGTGATCCAGAAGCCAGGTTTCTGAGTAGCTCACATAATCTTGGGAGGTCTTTGTGCAACAGCAGCTGACACATGGATGTATTTAAATCTTTGCTAAATGCTTCACCTACATGAAGGCACACTAACTCATTCTCTCTACCAGTCCAAATCGCTTTTATCTTCCGAAATCACTTATTTAATATTTCATTTTAGGTAGGTCCTCAGGTTCTTCTTGAACTCCTATAGCCAGCCTTTAATGCAGCCTCCAGCCAGTCTTGTCTCCAAGTCTCCGTATCCCTTTGTATTCACTGACATCCATATTAAATAGAGATGACCAGCAGAATATTACTGTAGACACTACAAAGGGTGACTGAAGGCTGGGGTTATAAAAGCCACGGCAGATGCCCAAGCAAAACTTTGTAGTCTTTCCTACTGAGTCCTTTAACAGAATCATATCTGAGTACTCACTTTAGTTTCAGAACAACAGTTTGTATCCTACCCTGCTCCAGTTTACCATCTCTTGCAATCTAGAATCATCTGTAAATTTAATAATACTTCATCATTTTATCACTTTGAATCACAGAAAAAAGTTCTAGTAGTCTAGTACTTTCACTGAAAGGTTTCTGAGTACGTTCCAAGACTGACAATGAACCTTTGATGACTTTATAAATATCTGAAATCCCAGTGAATATGGAAATGGAGTGTGGGTAACAGATTAATTTGATTTCACTTTCTCCTGTCAAATCCATCACTATCACTGGAGAACATTAGATTTAAATCTCAGATAATGTTTAAGCATATATCCCAGTGTCCAGCTTTATACTGTTTAGAAATATGACATCATTTATACACTATGAAGTTTCCTATTAGATTTTTGCCAAGTGTGTGTGTGTGTGTGTGTGTGTGTTCTTAATCTAATTAAACAATCAGGATATGGCAGTGAGTCTTTATTTTTCATACAGGGTGCCGTTGCAGGTAACCATCAGAGAACACACTATTTTCAAATATACAGAACTGAACAAAAGCATTTCCGCATGCTGCCTCCTCACTGTACACAGAACACTGGTGAACATCTTCAGACACAGGCTAGGCAATGAAATGGGTTCGCGCCAGCTGCTGATGCCATTGTTGCTATGAGTCACTCAGCAGTGTTATTATAGGCTGTCTTTACTCTGATAGCCTCTGGGCAATTCTACAATGCAGGTCTAGTGAAGGGTGCAAGCAAGCAAGCAAGCAAGCAGGGGACCGGATGCCATGTGCTGTCTGGAAGGGAAACTGACTGGGAACCTGGCTCTGTACTTTTCCCCCAAAGAATTGATATAGCCATCTTAATAGTTTGATATATCAATATATATTTATATCGATATATATTGCCTTTACCATGTATAATTGGCAGTCTGCCTAAGTGAAAGTTCGTGAAACAGCTAAGTCAGTCAAGTGTTGAAAAGCAGAACACTGTCCAAGCAGAACACTGTCCATACAACAGAACTGCTACCTCACAACTTTTGCCCAGTTCTCGCTCTGCAGAAACCCTTCATCTGATGAGTTTTAGTGAAAGCCTCTAGCAGCTGTAACAGACTTTTCTCAACCCAGCTCTAGATGCTAAGTATCAGAAACAAGTGCCTGTGAAGTGGGTGTGTCCAGTGCTACTGGAGGTAAGTGTCAAGTTTCTTCTTGATGTTGTCAAAGGAATCTGCTCCCATGTAATCAGCCTGGCCCTGTTCCCATCGCTCTTTCCGTTCTTCTGAGGACACAAAAGGTTGTGTGGTGGCCGGGGTCTCCCCAAGGGACAAGTGTGATACGGCTCCTGAGACATCTTCCTGGAAAGCAGAACATAATCAGAAGGTCTTGAGAGCTGAACATCAGACCATTTTACAGCGATCAATGCAAGGTGAGGAAAGCCAGGATGAATTATCATGCAAAATAGCAAAAACTGAAAAGCATCACATGAAATAAACAAAAAGCACAAAAATACAAGGATCATATGGTTGTTTTTTTTTTTTTTCCTAACAAAATGAGGACTTCTGGACTCAGTGAAAACATTGGGAGAACAAAGTAATTAGGGTTAATGTTTAAGCTCTGCATACCTTTCTACAGAAGCCACAAGAGAAAGCCAGTGTATAGACCAAGTCTGAGAGCTGCAAACAGTTCATTAGAAAGTGTAAGGTGAATGGACAAAGGAAGACAAGTCTCACGGTAAATTCTCAAATCTGTGTGGGCTCAGAAAGGTTGAGAACTTAAACAAAATGATATTTCTGATGCTATGCTTCTGAAAGAACCTAACCAGAGAGCCGCAACACATATACGAGTTGTCACATTATAGAGGAAAGCTGCATGGTCTGAGACTATGCACCAAAATCTTCTGCCTGCTCAAGCTTTCATCTGGGTTACCAAGTAGCATCTAGTAGCTTCTGTTAATCTGCTTAGTTTTGAGCAACTGTTTTAATTCCAGGAACTTCCTGGGTTCCTGATTCTCAGCCTTTGTGTTAGGGAAGGAGGAGGATATATGTGCAGCCAGCAGAGCAAACCTATGCTTTATTAAATCTGATGCTCATTGTGTGAAGTTTCCAATGCACAGTAAACGAATAGCAACGCTACTCTCCAAAAAGCTCTAAGGTGAGAAGATACTGGGAATCTTAGCAAAGAAAAAGGTGAATGAATACAAATAGGTATAGATTTTCACAGAAGGTGGTGAACAATTTTTGATGACCTGTTTGTGTTGCCATATGTATTTAAACATAGGTGTGTGCGTATGTATTTAAATACACTGAACTGCAAGGGATTTGGTATAGGGGTGTATTATAGGCAAGGAAACATGAGGAAGTTCTCCCATTGGCTCAGTCCTGCCTCTGCCTTCTACTTGCAACAGGAAGGATAAAGAAAGGCTCTTCCAGATTCATCTGCTTACAATGTAGGGCTGTGCATTTATCATGAACTTTCCTAAAGGTTAAGCCAAGCTTAGTGGATCTAGCTGAAAACAGTTCAGCATCTGAGGTCTAACTCCCTCTGCCATTAAAAGTGCTACACTTCATTTAAGGCTGTAATGTCCATGTCACATTTTCATAAGGATAGCAGTCTTTCAGACCTGATTTTGAGCCCCAATTCCGCTACTCACTACTCTGTAAGCCTCATCTTATTTATAAGGCTGTTAGCAATAAAGGTAGAGCTAAGTTTCACTAAGCACTTACTGTGTGCCAGGTACTATTTCAAATACTGTACAAGTATTATTTCATGATCCATACAAAGCACTTAGGGTAGGAAAAATGGACGTGTTAGTTATTTCTCCCTTTCTCCTTTGTATATTTTGGTACAAATGCTGATAAGTAAAAGGGCTCAAATCAGTATCATAGAAAAGAGAAGAATTATAATCCACCCACTCAGTTATATTCTTTTATATCTTAATGTGCTCCATAGCAACTTAATTCCTCATCCTCTTCCAATTCTTCTAAAAACAAATCTCAGGGAAGAACCTTTAAAGTCAGAAAAGATGTTAAACAGGTTCTCTATATGATAACATGTCACCTCTCCTGCAAAATTTGATTTGCAATACTATAGTCATAGCAAAACAAATAGAAAATAAAAATAGCCCTAGAAAAGTACTTACTGTATGTTATTGTGATTGTAACTGAAAACATACTTTCCAAGAGGATGACAAACATAAAATTGTAGATTCTAAAAGGTGTAATGTGGCAGTCTGTTTCTACAGACATCTGCTTTAGGATGCTTCTTAGGACAGTGGAATAAGGAGTTTTTAGGTACAACATATGGAAGCATATAAGAAACTCTAAAAGCTTTTCTAATGCTCTGAGGTCTACTGACATTTGCCACACAATCTATTCCTACTACTTTTTTTGGTGGTAATATTTCTTCCCTCTAAGATGGTCATTGTTTTCTTTCCACAACATCTTATCTCTGCTTAAAATAGCACTAAAAACTTCCCATCTGTATTAATATACTGAGTTTTTAAAAATGCACAATTATCTGAGAGAGATAAAACCCAGAACCTACCACATGTTGGTATGAGCAGGTATCTTGGACAAGGCCAAATTGTTGAAGCAGAGGTACAACACTGGTGGTGAAGATGTCCCACCACACGTTGAGAAACTGTGGATGAGTCATGGTGGGATCATGGCCCTCACTTCTGACACTTTTTGTTTTGGTATCGTAAGTATAGTTCCATGGTTTAGTTTGCCCCAGGAAATGCACAACTTTGGCATTTGCACCAAACCTGCCAAGTGAACACAAAAGTTGAAACGATTAGTGGATTCTGAGCACTGACAAAAAAAAAAAAAAAGATAGACAACATTTTGTTCCATAGCACCCATCCTGCAGTTGGGAAAGAAAACCGAGAGACGGTTCCTTTTAAAATTCTTCAATTTGTGTTAAATACACACAACCAAACACGAATCCATCATGGACAGGAAAGGCACAAGCACCAAGAACACACTTAGTATTACCTAGTAAAGTTGAGGCGTTCACGCGCTACAACCCAGCAGAGCTGAGCTTCTGAATGTGTACTCTAGAAACTGCATGCGCAACAGAGGGGAGAATAAAAATGTTCACAGCAGCAACACTGTTCGAAATCGTTATAAACTAGAAACAACCCAATGTCCATATGCTAACTGGACATACTGCTAAGCATCGGCACATGCCTCCCAGCCTCCACAGGGGAGTACACTCTGTTGCACAAGGTCATGATGGCTTGATTTGGCCAATGGAATGGGGGTAGAAGTGACAATGTACCTTTCAGAGGCATTGGGTATTTCTGTCCACCTTTTCTGAGAAATTACAATTCCTACCAGCAGAAGAGCATGTTCTGGGCAGCCTGCTGGTTCCAGGAGAGAGAGAAACCTGGAACAGCTGGTTCAAATCTGTGGCCTGGCTCCAGACTTGGCTGAGAGATCACAGCTATCCTAGCCAACCCACCAACACATAACGAAATACTTGCTGACTGTCAAATAGCATGCAGATTTTAGAGTTATATGAGAGATACTTCAAAAAATTCAAAGAAAAATACAATTAAAGAGGCTGGCACTGTGGTATAGTGGGCAAAGCCACCGCCTATAGTGCCGGTATCTCATATGGGCACCAGTTTGGGTCCAGGCTGCTCTACGTCTGATCCAGCTCTCTGCTATGGCCTGGGAAAGCAGTGGAAGATGGCCCAAGTCCTTGGGCCCCTGCCACCTGCGTGGGAGACCTGGAAGAAGCTCCTGGCTCTTGGCTTCAGATTGGCTCAGCTCCAGCCGTTGTGGCCATTTGGGGAATGAACCAGTGCATGATGACTTCTCTCTGCCACTGCCTCTAATTGTGACTTTCAAGTAAATAAATGAATCTTTTAAAAAAATACAATTAAAGATGTTTCCGTGCAAAAAAGTTTTGAAATCTATATATAGCTTTTTCAAAACATGCATTTTTAATGAATTTTTTGAAGACGCCCCTCATATATCCATTCTATTTGTTAAAAAATAAAACACATGTGGTATATTCATACAATGGAATACAAAGAATATAGCAGTATGAATGGATGAACTATAGCTGTAGCTATCAGGCAGAAAACAGATGAGTTCTCAACATACTTATGTTGACAAAAAATAAGCCAAATAGAATCAGATACATTTGACTCCACTTCCAAAAAGGCAAAACAAAACACAACAGAAGGTACTATTTAAGGATTAGACAATAATCAATATAGGAGCTGGTGCCTTGGCTCACTTGATTAATCCTCCGCCTGTGGCTCCAGCGTCCCATATGGGTACCAGGTTCTAGTCCCGGTTGCTCCTCTTCCAGGCCAGCTCTCTGCTGTGGCCCAGGAGGGCAGTGGAGGATGGCCCAAGTGCTTGGGCCCCTGCATCCGCATGGGAAACCAGGAAGAAGCCTGGCTCCTGGCTTCAGATCAGCACAGTGCACTGGCCATAGCAGCTATTTGGGGAGTGAACCAACAGAAGGAAGACCTTTCTCTCTTATTGTCTGTAACTCTACCTGTCAAATAAATTTAAAAAAATTTAAAAAAATCAATATAAATTTCATGATTCAGGTTGCCTCCAGGGGAAGGGGAAGCTGTGATTGGAATGGACAAATGGGAGCTTTGAAGGTACTGCTGGCCCACTTCCTAACTTGAATGTTGGGTTATAAAACTGCATGTGTGTTTCAATTATACTCTTCTGTATACACGTTGTATATTTAACATCACTTTGAAAGGCAGAGTGACACAGAGAAAGGGGAAAAGAGGGAGTGGGAGGGAGAGAGAGATTGCGATCTTCCATCTGCTGGTTTACTTTCCAAATGTCTACAACAGCTAGGGCTGGGCTAGGCCAAAGTCAGTAGCCTGGAACTCCATCTTGGTTTCACATGGGGCATTGTTTGCTGCCTCCCAGGTGCATCAGGAAGAAGCTAGATCAGAAGAGGAGTAGCTGGGGTATGAACCAGGTGCTCCAATATAGGATGCAGAGGTACCAAGAGGTGGCTTAACTCGCTGTGCCACATGCCCACTCTCACTATATTTCAAAATAAATAATATCTTTAAAAGAGTAAGAGTTAAGCTGGTCCTCCTCTGGCTAGGGGGAAAAAATCTATGCCTATAAAAACAAATAGTAACAGATGTTATTTACTCAGGAATTCAGCGGCAGAGTGGCAGGACAGGGGCCGAGATGGTGGGGTTGACTTTAAGCTTGCACAGCAGATGGGGAGTTGGTGAAAATAAAGGGAATTCCAGACAGGGAGTGGCAGATATGAGGTGAGCATCTGTGAGATTAACCAAGTATCCTCAGAGCCAGAGAGGAAGTTTTGAGGAGGGAAAGAAAGGAAAACAGGGACAGATCCCTGAGTACCCCGCTCAGCATTAGATGTTAGTGGATTATCCTAAAGGCAACCAAAGAATTGGAGTATGATATGCCAATCAAAATTCATGTAATCTTTCGTATCCTAAAGTTTATTTTGTAAAAAATGTTATGGACTTGATAAACAGCTGTCATTAGCTGAGCGTTTCCTATATTTGGAGCCTAAATTCTTTAAGTACATGATTGGGAATAAAAATATTCCTACAAAGTAGGTTTCACTGGTGTGTTAATTGAGGTGCTGAGACTGAGCTATCCAAAGCCACACCACTATTAAGTGTCAGAGATGGGATTTGGCACAGTTTTGCCTGCCTCTCAGGCTGGGCTCCCACTCCAGTGATGCTGCCACTCCAAAACTATGTGAGAAAAACAGGCTCTACTTGTAAAGTTCCTGCTTTTTAAGGGTGACTGATTATTCCAGAGTGTTTCCTCTGAAAATGAAGGGGATACCTGACACCTCAAGCTTTCTCTTTATACACATAGACTTCACTCACTCACACACACACACACACACACACACACACACTCAATTTTAATCCTTTAAAGGACAGAAATCGTAATGACCAAATGTGTGCCAAGATAGGGCAATCAAATGAGCAACTGCCGTGCATCAGGCACTATGCTCAGTGTGAGGCCCAAAATGCTTCTGTCCAAACAGTGGGACGGGCCATCTACATAGCAGTAAGTGTACTAGCACACGCAAGGCTCCGAGGCAGGGCGAGCAGGCCAGTGCCGACTGGAAGGGCTAAGGGGATTCTAAAGTAAGAAATGCGGGAGGGATGTTCAGAGGCAGCTCTGTGCAGGTATAGGGCCCGGGCAATGTCTGGGAAAGATGGGCAGGGCTCAGGGAACTGCCTTCAACAAATGTCCTGACGGTGGTGGAGGGACCCGAGGCAGAGGTCCGACACCTGTGTGTATGTGTTGGGGGTCGGGGTGGGCAGGCGCTGCCTCTTCCTAGCAGTATCAGTCCTCATGCCTAAAACGAGAAAGAAGCTCTCAGCAGAAGCACGTACTCCTCCGCCTTCCCAGATGTTCACTCCTCCTGAGCCCCTCCCCTGTCCACAGCCATAGCACCCATCTGCTCCTTGTGAATTCACTGACCGCTAAGTCTCAACCCATGACTGGCCTAGACCTCACATAAATGGTGTACACAGTCATAACACTGTAATTCTAATAAAAACATGAAGTCTCCTGACAGTTCATGGAAAATGCACATTATGAAAAAACTATGCCTAGATTTAAATTTTTTAAGATTTATTTACTTGCAAGAGTCACAGAGAGAGAGGGGGACACAGAGAAATCTTCCATCCGTCTGCTGGCTCATTCCCCGGATGATTGCAAAGGCTGGGGCTAGGCCAGGCCTAACCCAGGAGCTTTTTCCTGGTCTCCCACATGGGTGCAGGGGCCCAAGCACTTGGGCCATCTTCCACTGCTTTCCCCAGGCCATTAGCAGGGAGATGGACAGGAAACGGGGCAGCCGGGACATGATCCGGTGCCCAAATGGAATGCTGACATTGCAGGTGGCAGCTTTACTACAATGCTGGTCCCTAATTTAAATTGGTTTTGCGTCAAAATAATCTTTTAATCCTATTTTCCTTGAACTTTTTGAAGTACCTGTACGTAGTATAAACGTTATTCCATTCTGATCTGCTCTCCTGGCAGTTCACAAGTGAATAAGCAGTAGTAATAGCAAATGTGCTTGTCTATGGGAACCCACGTGTGCTAGGCACTGGTTAGTAGCTGCATGGTTTTCCTTAACTAATCTCCAAAATGACTATGTGAGGAAAGCAAGGTATGAAGAAGTTAGGTAACCTATCAAGCATTGTATGGCTGGTGAGTGACAAGGCTGGGATTTCATGCAGGCAGTCTGGCTCCAGAGCCAAGACTCTTAACTACAACAAGGCTCGCATTGTAAGGCACTACCAATGATAAGGGCATTGTCTATGTGTGGCATTTGTTAATCCATGAACAACTCTCTGCCTATGGACAATCATTCTGAAAGTGGAAAAGGTATGGCTGAAATTCCTGGCAATACCCTCAGCACAGCTGAGGGCAGAGCAATAGAAAACAAAGAGCAGGAAAGACAGTTAACAGTAAGCAACTTCGCACTGTCTGAAGAAAGACTGCTCTTAGAGGATGCAGTTTGCACACAGACTAGGGACACAGGTGGGACAAGGCCTAGATGGGGCTTCTTAGGATGAGCAGGTGACCCACGAGGGCACTGTGCTGGGCAGTGTCTCAGGGCCCCCAGTTCCTCTCCAGGACCTCGTTCTGTAGACCGAGGCTCTGTGCTCCAGTGGAGGAAGGACACAAGGGTTCATCTACCTGCACATTGCAACTGCCCAGTCCTCTGCAGTAGGCAGGAACACACACCTTAAGCTGTCCCAGCCTGGTG